AATTACTTTTGATGGGTAGAAGGGAGAAATTGAAGGGAGGGGAGGTGAGGCTAGAGGGGCCAGAAAATGGGAGGTTGAGGAAAATATATATAGAAATAAAATGTAAGTAATCTAGTTTTAGAATATGATGGAGATGTGGACAAGTAGGGATGCACAAGGAGAAGAAGAAGGGTGTCCATTTCTTGTGATTTTTAGGGTAGCTAACTGCTACATTTTGGGAATCAATTCATGCCTGTCTCTTGTCTTATTTGCAAAAACTGCCTAAGTCTACTTGAGTATGTGTGTTTCCGTTATTTAATTATGGACTAAAGTAAATTGATAATAAATTAAATTAATGTGGCTTCTTTAATGATTTCTTAATTTCTATACTTTTTATTGTATTGATTTCTTTTTATTTTTTGATGACGTTTTTTTTATTTGTTCTAATTATTGCTTCATTCAAGCAGTTTTATTTATGTATTTCAGTAAATTAGAACATACATAAAAGAAATTGACATATAAAAATATAAAGTATAGCTTTAATTGTTTATTTGTAATATTGTAAATATTTAAAAAAGGCAACAAAGAAGTGCGTTTGGTCACGTTTGAATTTTTTTAGTTGGAAGTTGGATTGGAGTTGATTTATTTAATTAATAGTATTGGATATATGATATAATATATATAAAATTAAAAAAGGTTAAAATGTGTATGTAATTATTTTAAGAAATATATACAATATAAATATATTTTATATAGAATAAAATTTTATATAATACAAATAAATAAAAATATATAAATATTTATTTATAATTAAAATAAATTAATTTTACTCATAAATGGAGAATCTTAAATATATAAAAATATATTTATTTAGTAAAGAGATATAAAAATATAAAATTTTGAATGGTCTCATATGATATCATATTTTGAAAATAAAACAAAAATTGAAAACATAGTGCAAACTTAAGTAAATGATAACCAAATATACTCTAAAGGTGCAAGATTATAGTCTAAAAGTAAAATTTTTTCTAAAAATAGTAAATAACAAAAAGAATAGCAGAATCTATCAATACGAACAAAATATTTGTAACGGTATACATCACAAATATCTATCTGGAAAATAGACTTGAAGTTGTACTACCTATTTGATGTACTGTGTTGAATATAAAAAATAAGTTTGAGAGGCTAACTCCTCCGAATATATGCGAACTGAAAGTGTGAAACCACAAATAGTAAACACAACTATTAAATGTGTGGTGGTTCTATGATTATGACAACCGTGTGTTTGTGAGGATTAGAGAGACAAAAAAACAAAAACAAATATGGAGATCCCGATCTAAAAGATGTCCATTGTAACATATAACGAAGTTTACAAGAAATACAAAACACCAACAATCCAACAACAAAACTAACCTCTCATACAACATTCTCTACATTGCAATGTCCAACAAATTGCTCATTATTCTGCAGTTATGATTCTAGCGGATCACATATCTAGTTGAAATAAGAATATTTACAGTTTGTTTTCTTTTTGGGTTGGATCTCTAAAATTTCTATCTTCAAATTATATTATGAGTTTCATGAACGCTCAAGAATTGAAAATATAAAATACACTATTTCTCTTTCTAGAAATTAGAGTAAATCTCTCACACTCACCAAATTGGACTACAAGCTGGTTTTCAAGCAAGTTTGGGAGAATGGATCAGAGGCAATAAATATTGTTGTTCCAACTTTGATTTCTTGTTTTTTCTTTACCAGCACGCAATATCAAATTCTTGACACCAGAATTGACTATGTTTGATCACCTAGGGAAGATTTTGTTCCATACAAATAGTGTTCACGGACAACATGCACAAATACGACTACACAACCATTTCCTTTTTGGTGTCGAGTGCAAGGCTTGACAACTAATTGTGGCATTTGTATTATATGCCAAAAACATAAAATGCGTTTTTCTAACATCTTGCACAACTCAAACATGATTTACAAAGGATGGAGATGGAGCTACACTAGTTTGAATCTTCTACATAGAATACTTATATCTTTTTTACTCTTAATTATTTCTTCTTGTTGATAGGTTGACGAATGCAAGACCAATAATATTTCAATTAAGAAGATAACAAGGATAAACACTTGATATTTTCAGAGGTAGGAGACATTGGAAATTTTTTTTGGAACAACCAATAGCCTCAGTGCTTTCAATAAAAATAATCTAACACTACAATTGCCACGTAGTAAGTGGTGCCGAGGTCGATCCACAGGGTCTGTGAAGTTTAATACATGTTTTGTCACAATTTCAAATATTGGGGGGGGGGGGGTAGATTAGCAATTCACTAAAATAATTAAAATAAGCGATAAAATTTAGATTTCAATGAGATTAAACTTCTAGCCCAAGGAGTGAACAAGAAACCGGATTAAAGATTCGATCATCGATTTTAAATAATCTTGTTATTCAATTGATAAATTGGTTATAGGCATTAGATAAGATCATAACGCCCAATTTTTCCTTACTTTATTGGCGGCAATGGTACGACCGATTAACCGCATCCCTAATCAAAGAAATTATTTAGGTACGACTATAAATGAATTTCCTCAATTGAAAATAGCCCAAAAAAAAAAACTATTCAAATATTCAATCAATTACGACAAGATTAAATTATTTGATTATGCAATTCCTAGGCTAAGATTGTCAACCTATTTACCACTTTATCAAACAAGTGCACAATTACAGATGCAAATGTTCAATTGGCACACAATTGCTTAACCAATCTAAAATCCGGCCGCGATAAAAGATTAAATAAACAATTATAGTTATGAAGAATAGGAATCGCACAAATATAAATTTCATAAAGAAGATGCAATTTAAATCATAACATAATCTCACAAATCCAAATTCGAAATCTAAATTCAACCTTGGACTAGAATAAAGAAAACTAACTACTCATGCTCAAAATAAAAGAAAATAATAAAATGAAGATAATGATGATCTTCTGGTGGCGCTTCCTCTCAAATGCCTCCCCAATCCTTCAAGCTATGAAATGTGAGTGTAAGTTATGATATCTCATCCAATGCCTTGACCCCCTTTTTCAATCGCGCCCTTAATCACTCAATTTCAACCATCATGCCTACAATTACGTCTCAATCCCCGCAATCCATCACTTTCCTTGACATGAAAGCTTAGATCAAGCCTTTCCAAAATTCTTTGATCGAAAACATGGCATGTACGTGAATTACTCCATTCCTTTGCACCAATCAATAATATGCCAAAATGAGTAGAAATCTATCTATAACATTAATTATATTTTATGATTTATCTATATTAATATAGGACAATATATGCATTATCAATTCCCCTACACCCAAACCATGCTTGCCCTCAAGCATAAACCAAACAAGCACACACAAGAACTTGATGCAATCATAATCTCCACAAACTAATTTATATTATCATTACATCAGTGAAACTCAAAACCTACTGAGCGCAACATAACCTCACTAGTAATAACGTGTATATACTCAATACTCAAATATATATGGATTACAAGTCACCCGTGTCGCATCGTAAAAATGATTATCCCATAGGCTTGCATATTGATCACATCTCTTAATGCTTCGAAATCTAATGCAAAAAAATCAAAGGGTTTTTAAATAAGGTTATGACGGAGATTTAGGTTGGAGTAGGATATAGGATATTATTCGGCTAAATAAGTCAAAAAGAAAATATTCCAAGCTCATTTTGTAATATGTAGTCTCCATGTATCACAAGGTAGACAATTTATGCATAAAATTTCTCATCTCTCACTTATTCCTTCATTAACATGCATACTCAAGAGTTTATTCTTGCAAACTACATAAGAAGAATGTTCACCAAGATAACCCGTAGTACACCCAACTCAACCGACAAGTTAACACCAAAATGCTCATTTCCGTTACGTAATTTATTTATTTATTTTTGGCTTTTCTCAATCATTTATTTATTTATTTTTACTTTTCTCTTATAAGCAATAAGCAACAATAAATAGACATAACTTCCCATTCCCTTGAAGACTTTAAAATAATATGAGCTCGAAACATTTTCATTTGACTATAGGTTCAAATAAATTTTGGCTTTAGAAAGAAAGGTCATAAGTTAATATGCGGCTCATTTAACAATAAAATTGGGTATTCTCAAATGGGCTCACTAAGTGATTAATTTTTTAGGTAGGAAATATATTAGGCCAAATGGTTCATCCTAATGCCCTTATTATATTAATCGCATAGACTCCTAGGAAATCAAATTCGACATGCGTCACTATGTAAGTTTTAGAAAACCAAGTCTAGAGCAACAATCACACACAAGAAGAAATATATAGCATTTAAAATGAATGCTCTAAAAATACACATAAGTCTTTAGCACACAAGTCAGTCATGCAATCGGGCAAACAATTGATATTTTCCCCCACACCCACTATGCACATTGCTCTCAATGTAAATGCATCTCGAAAAATAAAAAGAGCAAATGACAGTAGGACTTCCCTGAACAGGGTGGGAGTGGTGCGTAAGATCTTAAGAAACTTTGATAAATTTATCTGTCAGGGGCATGCTGACAGTCTGACATCAGCATGCCTAAAGTCGTGCCACCTGCTGAAATGCCATTCTTAAATACTCAAAATGTTGTCTCGGGCATGTTGAGACCACCATCACCTACGGAAAGCAAAAACAAACAAATAAACACACCAAACACACAAGAGAAAGCAAAAAAAAAAAAAAAAAAAAAAATTAGGTTGCCTCCCAAAAGTGTTTTTCTTTAACGTCTTCGGCTAAACATTATTAATTGAGAATTTAGGACGAAGGTCCCTCAAGAGCCATTCAAGAAAACTTCTTCTCCATCATTGAACTGGCCATCCCACATGTAATATTTTGTATAGTTCTTCAATTCATTCCTTTTTGGCTTTCATCATTGTAGATGAAGTTATCAATGGTAGTGTCTCACCGTCTCCTAAATAAGAATATGTCAAATGATTCGGTAGTGGATTTAATTCCTACTCCGGTGGCTGCACAATCGAAGTCAATAAATATGTATTAGTCTCGGGCAAGAATAAAAGAGCATGAGCATACCTGTGCAAAATCCCTTTTAGTGCCTCATTGTCTTTTACCTCAAAAGCATCCTACACTTCAAAGTCAATAACATCTAATGAGAAAACCGAGTGAGAATTTAGGAAATGTTCAATCGCATCAAAAAATTTTAATTCAATTTTTTCCCCATCAAATTCCATCGTCAAATTACCATGCTTAACATCAATTTTAGTATCAGCCGTACATATGAAAAGTCTCCTTAAGAGTAGTGGTGATGGGTTGGGTGAATGTTCATCATGCATTTCTAAGACATAGAAGTCGACCGAAAAAATAAAATCATTGACTTGGACAAGGACACCCTCTATAATTCCTCCGGGATATCCATACGTCCTATTAGCAAGTTGAATAACAATCCCATTTTCTTTAATGGTGCAAGATTCAACCAACTATAGATCAATTTCGACATGACATTAATTGCCGCACCGAAATCTAACATAGCACGCTTTACTTCTAATTGCCCTATTTTACATGGTATTGTGAACATACCTGGGTAGTGCCGAGAGATTCTCGCTTGCAATGATGCATTCGTTGCCCTTCAACTTCCGTTTGTTGGTGCAAAATTCCTTTAAGAACTTTGCGTACTTTGGAATTTGGTGGATTGCGTCCAATAGGGGTATATTGAGCTTGACCTTTCGAAAAATCTCCAAAATTTCATTCTCCCTTTTCGGCTTTGCCAACCTGGAGGGAAAAGGGGCAAGATTAGTAGATAGTTTTATTAGTTACCTCATTTTTCTTCGCATCTTCCTTCTCGATTTCTTTTTCGATGGTGCTCTCATCTTTGTCCTTCGGGATGATTGGTTCCGGAGCCCCCACCGTCTTTCTGGTTTGTAAATTCATGGCACTAACATTCTTTGGGTTCCTTTCCAGTTGTGACGACCATTTTTCCGTTTCTCTTTCTTTGACATGGCGAAGATCCACTGCCATTTGCTCCATGCAGGTTTCCAAGACTTGAATGCTCGCTCTCGTATCTTGTTGGAATTGAATTGTGTTGGCAGCTATGGTTTTCATCATCTCTTCCAATGATATGATAGATTGGTTGGGTGGAGATGGTGGTGGCTGGAAGAATTGTTGGGGAGGTACTTGTGGTCGGAACCGTTGATGTTGCAGATTCCCATACCTGAGATTCGGATGATCCTTCCATCCCAAATTGTTAGGTGTTTGAATAAAGGTCATATATCGCGGTTGCCTTGGTGGACTAAAACCGGCTAGATTCACATCGGCATGACTTCCCTTGTGCAAGGTAGGGCATGCATCGGTTGCATGCTCCGGGCTTGTGCAAATGCCACACTCTGTCACATAGCGTGTATTTCCTACAACCAATTGATGAACAAATTTTGTAAGTTCGGAAATTTTTTGATGAAGAGAATCGTTACTTTCTGAATATTCGATTCCTCTAGTTCCGAATTGCTGCGATTTCTCTGCCATCTTCGCGATCAACTTCCATGCGGCTTTCGGTGTTTTATCCGCCAACGCTCCTTGGCTAGCGGCATCAATGTTGTTCCGGTCTCGCATGCCCAGTCCTTCGTAAAAGTATTGGAGCAACAGTTGGTCAGTAATATGGTGTTGTGGGCACCGTGCACAAAGCCTGTCGAACCTCTCAAGGTATTCATGGAACGTCTCTCCTTGTTGTTGCTTGATTTTGCAAATTTTCTTGCGCAATGTCGCCGCCCGCGATGCTGGGAAATACTTCTTCAAAAATTTCTTTTTCATGTCCCTCCAAGTAGTGATGCTTTCTGCCGGTAGACAAAAGAGCCATTCATTCGCCGCATCCTTCAATGAGAAAAGGAATGCCCGTAGCTTTACTTGTTCTTCGGTAACCGTTGGTGGTGTCATGCTCGAGCAAACCACATCGAATTCCTGCAGATGTTTATGTGGTTCCTTTCCCGTAAGACCATGGAACGAGGACAAAAAGTGTATTAGTCCGGATCGTAATTCGAAACTAGTGTTACTTTCAATTTTTGGTAAAGTAAAGCATAGAGGTTGTAAATTGAAATTAGCCGCAACCAACTCCCTGAGCGTGTGAGTATCTTCTTCCGCCATATTGGGCTCTTGCTTGATCGATTTGCTTGGTTGAGAACTCAAAGCCTTCTCAAATTCTAACTTTCTTTTTGTTTCCTTCCGCAATGTCCTCGCTAATCTCTCGATTTCCGCTTCGTATATTAAATTTCCTGTGCAAGAAAAGCGGGGCATAAACTATTGAAATATATAATATATAATAATAGAATATAATTGAATGACAAAAAAAAATAAATACAACGCCAATCCCCGACAACAGCGCTAAAAATTGGTAGCCTCGTTGCTTTTTATAAAAATACTCTAACACCACAATTGCCGCGTAGCAAGTGGTGCTGAGATCGATCCACAAGGACTGTGAAGTTTAGTTTCTGTTTTGTCACAATTTCAAATATTTGATGGGATATATTAGCAATTCACTAAGATAATTAAAATAACCGATAAAATTTAGATTTCAAAGAGATTAAACTTCTAGACCAAGGAGTGAACAAAAAACCGAATTAAAGATTCGATCATCGATTTTAAATAATCTTGTTATTCAATTGATAAATTGGTTATAGACATTAGATACGATCATAACACCCAATTTTTCCTTACTTTATTGGCGGAAATGGTACGACCGATTAACTGCATCCCTAATCAAAGAAATAATTTAGGTACGACCATAAATTAATTTTCTTAATTGAAAATAGCCCGAGAAAAACTCAATTCAAATATTCAGTCAATTACAAAAAGATTAAATTATTTGATCATGCAATTCCTAGGCTAAGTTTGTCAACCTATTTACCACTTTATCAAAAAAGTGCACAATTACGGATGCAAATGTTCAATTGGCATACAATTGCTAAATCAATCTAAAATCTAGCCACGATAAAAGATTAAATAAAAAATTGTAGTTATGAATAACATGAATTGCACAACTATGAATTTCATAAACAAGATACAATTTAAATCAAAACATAATCTCACAAATCCCAATCCAAAATCTAAATTCAACATTGAACTAGAATAAAGAAAACTGCTACTCATGCTCAAAATAAAAGAAAGCAATAAAATGAAGATAATGATGATCTTCTGGTGGCGTTTCCTCTCAAATGCCTCCCCCAATCCTTCAAGCTATAAAATGTGAATGTAAGTTGTGATATCTCATCCCATGCCTTGCCCACTTTTTATAGATGATCGGTTTTTCAATCGCGCCCTTAATCACTCAATTTCAATAATCATGCCTACAATTACGTCTCAATCCCCGCAATCTATCACTTTCCTTGACATGAAAGCTTAGATCAAACTTTTCCAAAATTCTTTGATCGAAAACATGGCATGGGCGTGAATTACTTCATTCATTTGCACCAATCAATAACATGCCAAAATGAGTAGAAATTTATCCCTAACATTATTTATATTTTATAATTTATCTATATAAATATATGACAATATATGCATTATCAATAACATGTTAGGAATATATATATTTCTCAATCCAAATATGGACAAATAATAATGTACAAATATATTAGCTCTTCTGATTTATTTGATTGACTTAAATTACATAATCTAATTATAGAAATAATCAATAATTTATTTGATTGACTTTGATTACGAGATTTGATAATAGAAACAATCAATTATTTATTTGATTGACTTAAATTACGAGATTTGATTATAAAAATAATCAACTATTTATTTGATTGACTTAGATTAAGATGTTTGATTATAAAAACAACCAATTATTTATTTGATTAATTTAAATTACGTGATCTAATTATGAAGCAAGTTAATTATTACCTTATTGATATGAGATCAATTGAACAGATACCAAATAGCGTATCAATTACGTGATTATGGGTGACCTATTAATCACTATATAAATGATATTCGGTTATACTCCCAAATACACTAAATCAATATTTGTTCTATTCTCTCCATCGGAATAGATTATAAAGGACCCATTAGGAAATTTAGTCGAGGAAGTCCGTAATACCAACGGTTCGAGTTCTCAATTCCGCATAAAAACATTCGATGGATCCAGGTATGTTAATAATGTGATTTTTATCATATAAATCGCTATAGGACATATAAATTAGAAATATGCCGAGTGCATTCTCATGAAACTTTTCCATCACAACATACCTTCAATTGTTCCCAAGACCAAGAACAATACACTACAAGAAAATGTCTAGATATGACAAAATATAAGAGACACATGAATTAAACTTTTGGAACTTCGTAATAAACATAAATTAAACTTTTAACGTTGTGTGCAGTGTTTCCGAAAGACGCACTTTAGCCTTTCTTCATTGCCTCACAAAGATCCTTTGAGCTCTTCAATGACAAGTACAATGTAGTTTCTCTGTACCTCCTTAATTATTTAGTAGACAAAACTCTTGAAATGTAGTCCAAAATACACTTGGACTCCACTCCAACCAAACTCTTTGTACAAATGCACTACTTTTCAAAATTATATATAGAACTTGAAGATGGGTAGGAATCATTGCTCTTCCACCTCATTCATATCTAGAGGGAAGAATCCCTGGGTAGCCTGATGATGTATACAGTAACAGGGTAGAGTCCTAAAATAAAAAGTTTTGGTAGCGATGAAAGATAAATTTTGAGAATTTTAATATATTATACCCCCGTCACATATAAAATGTCTATATTATTTTATTTTATTTTTTTGTGTTGTACATAATTTGTTCATTTATATTTTTTGATAAATGATTATACACTTTGACCATATTTTAAATTTTAAATTTATAATTTTTTTTAATCTTAATTAATCAATTTTTTTATTTCAATATATAATTATTTGTATTAATATACATTTTAAGTATTTACTAATTTCTGTATCTACGGTAACATAAACACTTTTAGTAGGACAGAGAGAGTATAAAGCGACTTATACAAATAAAAGAAAATGACTCTATTTTAATGCATAATGTAAAACATATGCTAAATTATCTTGGAAAATTATCTTGGAAAAAACCTCCGAGACAATATTGTGTCACAAAATCTTCTTCGAGACAAATTAGTGTCTCAACTATGGTTCGAAACATCACCGCGACACTTTGTCTCCACCATGGTCTCGAATATTATTTAATGACAATGCATTGTCACATATTTCTCTCGAAACGCCACCAAGAGTAACTATTGTCTCGAAATAAGACACGAATAATACTCCGAGATTTTGAATTGTCTCGAATAAGTAGAGAAAAATATTTCGAGAATATTCATTGTCTCAAAAAAAATCACGGAAATACTCTGTGAATATATGTTGTCCCGAAATTAAGCACGGAAAAAAAATTTGGGAGCATGAATTGTGTCGAAATAAGTCACAAAAATACTCCGAGAGTTTGAATTATTTTCAAACAAGTTGCAGAAAATATTCCGAGGGTTTGAATTGTCTCCAAATAAGTCGCCAAAAATATTATGAGATTATGAATTATCTTGAAATAAGTCACAAGAAATACTTCGAGAGTTTGAATAATTTGGAAATAAATCCCAAAAAATAATTTGAGATTTTTATTTGTTTTGAATTAATTTGCGAAAGTGCCTGCTGTCTAGAATCAATATTTGGCACATTAGAGGCCAACAAAAATGCCTTTTGTGCCCTCTGAGCCTGTCTTTCCTTCTCTATATCTGCCCACTTGACCACCAAAGGTATAGTCAAACCCTATTGCAGAAGCTATCAACATTAATGTTTGACATTTCCAATTTAACACAGTGCATTTATTCAGTGGGACGGTGAAATCAAATAAGTAAACCAACAGAAAAAGGGGTTCATCATATAAACAAAAATATGGAGTCTAAAGAAGGAGATAGAGAAATAATGCATCTATAAAATAGTCCACTGGTTTAGACTAATAAATTTCTCACATAGAGACACACAAACAGGAATTGAGTAACATTCAGAACCAAATTCTAGCTCTTAATAAAAAATTTCACCATAAGCAAATGTCCATTTCATTGGTTTTTAACATCAAGGCTTAAATTTATGCCTTAGGAATAATAGAAAATCGACTACTTATAATAGTATTGATGAGTTTAAATCAGTCTTTCTGGATCTTAAATCCAAAATTTTAACTAAGACAGTACTACTAAGGTTGATAAATGGTGATTCCTGTGGTGAAGATTCAACACTACAAGATTATATACACAATACACCAATTTGAGAAAGGTTATTGTTTATGCACTTCCATGTTATGCTTTCCGTTGAGGACTGCTATAACTACCGGTGCTTGTTCTTTTGTCTCAAATTTCAAAAAAGCACAACCTACAAAAACTAATTTGTTAGATCAGAAGTTATAAGAATATATAAAATCCCATCACTCAACAATCATGCGAAAACCTGAATAGCCTCACATGCCAATCTTAGATCCAAATGGAAAATAAGATAAACTAAGCATATGTTTAATTTAATGGGTTTTGAAAGGGATCAGAACCTGCAGATGTCTTTCAATTTTTCTGCCACAACAATTACAAAATTAAGCTAAGACATGCTATCAGATCTTCATCAAAGAAATGCTCAATGTTTCACTTGTACAAAGTTATATAACATAGTTCTGTTGCTTCAAATCTTCATGATTAATTAATAAATAGAACAAAGAAATTTGCAAGAGGGACAATAGCATATAAAAAGTTGCTGACTAGAACTATAAAACATGTAATCATTAGCTTGAAGGTGCGACAATCTTATCCTTAAGATAAAATAAACAAACAAATAAAGGTTACAGGGAACTGACAATCATATTAATCAGATGTAAGGTCACCCAACTAGAGGAACCTTCAAAATACCGAGCTGCCTCAACAACAGAGCAGATCTAGCCTCGAGTGAAAATCAGACACAAAATCCCGAAACTGAGAACAGCAATATATATATTTTTTTTACTCTATGCTCTTTGCAAACTACAAAAAAATCTCCCAACATAAACTTTAACCTAACATAAGGTTAAGGATTGAGCTTACAAACCATCCGACAAAACTACAGAAGAGGAAAATGAACTTGCTCACCTACGCCGCCGGAGAGCCGC